GAGGAAAACCGAAAAATAATATCTAATAGATTTTAGATGAACAGTTCACTTTATCGGAACAGGAATACTCTTTCTGTAAAAGTTTTTGCTTAGAATATGAGATTAGAGGAAATTTCACTTTATACATAGAATATTTTTTTGGGTGTTGTAATCTTTAAATATTTTTACAATTAAATTTTGATATTATAATTAAAAAAAGCACTTAAGATTAATAAATCTTGTGTACGTGTTCAGATATAGATATATATTCAGTTACTATGTACGTTTACCTTAATATGATTAATTCTTGCCTTTAGTTTTTTGCTGAATCTATGTGTGTAGACACAATCGTATAATATTTGCAATAAAGAATCACGTACTGAACGCAACCATTGTGAATTCTGGAGAGGTCTATCCAACTTAATCTTGCCAAACACTTTTATTTAGAAAAACATATTTGATTGATATAAATGTATAATTTAAGTAATTAAACATTTTCTTAAAATTACATTACATAAAAATAATAATGTGATGCCAAAGAATCGATTTACAAAATCTATATGACAAAATGTTAATCTCGTAATCAGATTAAACGAAACAAAAACGATAAGACAATCCTTATGAAAAAATATTGAATTAATAAAAAAAACATTATATTGGAATATAGTATAAAATATTGGATTTAAATGGTTTTTATAATAATTTCCAATGTTTTTTTTTCGTAAATTCAATAATATTTATCCATAAGGGAGCTCTCACAGGTTTTCAATAATGTCTTACAATTAGTCACAAGCATAAAGAGAGATCCTTTTCTAACGCGAATCCTTTTTTTAATGCTTGAAGAAGGCAATAAACAGAATATAAAAACGTGATCTTTGCATTCGCAAGTTACGTCGCGGACGAGAACGGGTATCGGGCCGGATTCAGACTAGGAGCTGCCGCGACCGGCGTAACGACAGGGTCTCGCATCAGACCCTTGGAACTCGCCATCGGATCTGCCATCGGACCTTCGAAACCCGCAATTGGACCCTACATCGGATCCCCGGGACCAGGAGGCCCCACGTATCTGCCGTCGAAACCAAACGTCGATCGGAGTTATTTACCGCCTCAATGATCTTAAAAACTGGCTTCCCGAATATGCTTCCGTTTTATGAGCAGGCAGAGGAATCGTCGGATCAGGAGAGGCTCCTCGAGGGTATCTCTCGCAAAAAGCTGAAATAAATTTCTCTGTACAGAAATGTCGGGGCACGAGCAGTCTTCAAGCTACGACCGAATTAATTAAAGAAGAAAACGAGATTGAAGGATACATGGCAGAATCTCATACCTGAGCTAACTTCCGTTACTTGTTCTTGACAGTTTTGATGCTTGTGTATAGTATAGTTATAGAAAGATATTTAATTCAAGAGCCTATTAAACTAAACGAGAGAAAACATGAAATATTTAACTAACTTCGAGAGCGCCTTTACGGTCACGGCTGGATCTTAGATGCCTAATAAATTCTATGTATGAATTTTTTTGAAATCCATGTATGTACAGCCGTTAAACTGCGCGCCGATTAAATGTTCGGACTTGAAACGCAATTATTAGCTGCAGAGGCTGGAATAGAAATATTATATCATATTGATCTTCCTAATCAATCGATGCTTATAAGCAGGGTTGGCAAGTAACGCGTTACTTGTAACGTCGTTACCGTAACAATTACTTTTTTTCAGTAACGAATGAGTAACGACGTTACATTTCCTTATGAGTAACGTTAACAGTAACGCAGTTACATTTTTTGGATAACGGTAACGATTTAATTAGTTACTTTTATCGTTACTTTATTTCTAGCATCGCGTATAGATTAGGGTGCATTTCTAAATACACCGTGGGTGAGAATTGATTGAGACTCAATCAGAGTCCTTCATATATGTATTATTTATATATTGTACATCTATATTGTATGTATACATACGTGTATATTAGGGTGGACCTTATTTATACTTGGTGGAAAATTTTTTCCGAATTTTTTTCTTGACGTACCCCAAAAGTTGTTTCATTTGATGAAAAAAATTTTTGTAAAAGTTGAGCTCGATCAGATAACAGAAAGACGTGGCACAATCCTGTTAAAGTTGAAACAAATATTTTTTTCACAAAAAATGGGGAAATTTGATGAAAAGAATTCTGAATAAAGATTAAATGATTTTCTTAGTAAATGTTGACCAATGATAGTATGTTTTTTAATAAATATAATATTTTAAATCGTATTTTAACAAAATATATTGTATATATATTATATATGTGTATACGAAATATATCGTATTTTTATATTTATAAGCAAGCAGAAAAATAAAGATATCAATATATTGCTTGCATCTATATATTTTACAATCTATTATAATATTTAAATCTATTGTAATTTTACAAA